GGGAAGGAAGATTCTGGACAAATTGTTCGTCGCACAGTGGGTCAGGTTAAATGATCTGTTCTTGAACAAAATCTCACCATTTAACCGTCACAACCTTTCGCAGCGCGTTCGCTGGCAACGTACGCAACTACTATTTTGTGCTATTGCTTTCTGGTGACTGCCGGTGGGTATGTTGCTGCCGGACCGCCTCCACGTAGGCAATTTCTCGTACATCGTCCGTCCGCAACTCTCGCCTCTGGTCAATCAGCGCAGTAGTGGGATTCCCGCTCGCCGCGCACTCTCGCGACAAGGTACGCAACTTCTTGCTCACAACGTGCTCACCTGCTCACAACTCAACTTCTGTTTCAATTCTTAATTCATTCCCTTACAGATTGATCCCCCCCCCCTTCGGAAAATACACTCTTCCCGCGGTGGATGCGCGGGTCGCTTAAGAAGACAGAACAACTGGAATGGACACTCAAACCAAAAAGCGCGCGCGAAGCGCGCGTCCTGGGGGGGCTTGGGGGGGCGAAGCCCCCCCAAAAAACCGGCGCGGAGCGAAGCGGAGTGCCAGTTTTTTTATTTTTATTTTATATCCTGATAATAATTAATAATATACAAATAAATCAAACGTTAAACAATATTTATATAATTAGATACATTTGATTTTAAAACCTTACGCATGAGCGATTTATTTTTAAAAAAGAATTATAAACTTGTTGTTTTTACCTTTTCATTAAACATCCAGAAAAATTTTCGGGGAAAAATTATTAAGCGTGGTACTTAAAATACTCTCTCAAAATATATAAAATGATACTCTCTCTTTGAATTTGACCATTACTCGCGGTGAGTAGATAATCTTGTCACATAGTGACAAGACTATCGAGTCCGGTGGCTCAGAAACCTAGCATATAAAACAAGACTGGTCTTGTTGCATTAACAAACGGGTGTTGTCTCCCAAACAAACTGAGTTGTTTGGCAGACTAAAAGTCTTGTTCCTGAGACAAGGCAGGTTTAACAAGTTTATCTTGTCTCTAAGGCTCTACTATTTTTTTCAGTGTAGACAGATTTGGGGGACGTCGGACGGACGGACACACATTTTTTCAAGTATGGTTATTTTGACTCCTGGGACCTTAAAACGTCTAGAAATGATGAAATTTCAACTTTTTTTTCCCCCTCGGAGGATGACAATACTTTCTCTCTACCCTAGGGGAGCGAGAAAGTAAAAATGCATTACTTTCGCCTAGTTTCTGCCAATGAATTTTATAAATGCCTTCCAATGTAATAGAAATTCATACTTAATTGGTCCCTTTAAACCGTGCAAGCTTTCTACAACTGTTTTTCTTTCACAAGGATACGGAGAACATTTAGACCAGCCGATCAGATTTTGGCTTGATCGAATGAGAATTTGCTTTATCGTATGGACAATCCCTCTCAATTTTCCAATTGGATATCCAATCTCACGATCAGTTGCCTTTGCTCCCCATCTATGGGTTTAACTCTTTCGTTTAGCGTGGGAGTTCCGCTAAAGGAGTGACAGGTGAATTGAACTCCCTTTGTTTGAGTTCCGCGAAAGCCCTGTTATATTAAGGCCGGGAGCACATGCAGCATAATAATCGTGGAACTTCGCTCGGGCCTAGAACAAAGGCAGCGTTTTGCATGGCTCTAGGGCGGAGTCTTCGGGTGGGCGGTGCGGGGGCGCTATTAATTTCTCTAATTGCCCCCGTGCGAATTTTCAACTTTCGGGATGTTTTGTAAACGCTGACCGGGTATGGCATCTAATTCGAATTCGTACTTCAATAGAACCGCTAATTCCATGTTGATCCCAGATCCGCCGTCCGCACCATTGTCATGTTCCCGGCAAAATCAAAATCAGGTCAACCTGCGGCGAAATTTGGTCGGAGAGGCGTCCTCATGATCAACGCGCCTAGCCCACTTGAATGGGTGAGTTGCGCTGGTCACAGCCCTGGTAAAAATTGGCAGTAGAATCTGTGTTCCAAATTACCATAGACCTATAGCCGGCTGTAAGATTTCCAATAGCTTTTATAGCCGGCACCACAATTTCTTATAGCCTTCTATAGCCGATAGCGATTAAGCAACAGCCAGACGATAAAGTGTATGCTAAATGTTACTAATTACGGATGCTAGGACATAGAGAGTTTTTGGACTCCCGCTCTATTTTTGGGCCGTAGTATCTTGATTTATTTTGCGCGGAAAGCTCCGTACTTTTGAAAGATGCCTGCCATTCCTAATATGTTGGAGCGCCTTTAATTTCGTATGATACTGTGCAATACCTCTAGTGTGAAATAGTTGCTTCAAGCGCCGTGGTACGCTGCGGCGCGGCGCGGCGGGCGGGCAGCCAGCGCGAAACGCGCATTGGCGCCTACGAACCTAACAGGGATACTTCACGCATTGCGCAATGCGTGAAGTATCCCTACGCATTGCGCAATGCGTGAAGTATCCCTGTTAGGTTTGTAGGCGCCAGTGCGCCGCTGCTCCGCTTTGTGGTAGGCTCTAATACTTAATCTCGTGGAGTCAGCGTTTTTCAACTCATGACTTAGAAATGTTTGCACACTCTGTATGGATTATTCTCATTTTAATTGATGAAAAAAAATATGTAGTAAAGGAAAATATAAGGTGCGTTTTGTAAATATTAAGGTGATTCCGTACAAACTTAAGGATTTACAAAGCACACGAATTTCTACACAATTTCTTATAGCATTTTATAGCCGATGCCGAAAAAGCGACAGCCAGGCGATAAAGTGTAAAGCCCGGCGATAGGAACTTTAGTCCGGCTGTATAATTTTTTATCGCTTCGTGTAGCCCGGCCGTATGATTTTCTCCACTTTCTACAGCCAGCTATATGATTTTCTATCGCCCTCTTTATTCGGCTATAAGAACTCCTATGGTATTTTGAAACGGTGCTCCTATCGCCAATTTTTACCAGGGAGAACTGAATTTTGATGCTTGATTCTTGTGGATCAGCTAAAAAAATAAGATCCGTCCAAACAGCAAGTCTCTGCGTTCAATATCCGTCGAGATATCGCTCTTTGAAAAATTCGGTTGATGGCGTGATCCACCATGGTAGGTACACCACCCTTCGTTTTTTCCATCTTAGTTTCATCCAAGTTGCACAGTGAGTAACCATGCAAATGTGCGTCTCTCCTCCTGACTGATGAAACAGAGGTGGAAGAAACTAGGGGCGTCACCACTGCGGTGGATGACGTCAAAAACTCGACTTTTCGAAGGGCGATATCTCGGTTAGTATTGAACGTAGAAAGTTGCTGTTGGACAATTTTTTTTTAGTTTCAGCTCATCTGAAAGAATCAAGCATCGAAACACGATTTTGTGTCTTTGTGAAATCGTGCGAATGAACGTGAAATCTGACCCATTGCGAGTGCTTTTATGCGTTGCCATGCGCCTAACCGAAAAATTAGCAAGATTTGGAATTTTAACCTCGTGTAAACCCCCGTTTAAAGTTTAATTTTTCCCCGCTGCAACGCTCTGTCAAAGTCGCTCCGAAAATCACAGCCGCAGAGCCGAAATAAGAAATATTTTATGACAAATCTCAACCTAAAAACTATAGATAAATTAGAAATAGCTTTATATACTTGATTAGATATGAAAATTAAATAGTCTATAATTGAAATATGAGTCCAATATTTGATTTTAGCTTACATTACTTCGAAGTGTCATGCTCTTTGAAGAGTTATGCTCATATCGACAAGAATTCTTATTCGTAAACTTCACTCCTTGATATCAGAAAAAGCACTCGCGATTCACCCTTAAGTCGGTAATTTCTAACGTAAACAAGCCTGAGGTGGACCATGAGAGCACTTTTCGATTTTCGCCTCTCCCTCCACTTGTTCTTATTTTCATTTCTCTCAAAATAAACATTGGGGAACACACTTTTGTTGTTGCATCGGATTCTTCACTCTCTTGATTGTTTTTCTTCGTCCGACCTTATCGTGACCGATTCGATTCCTTCCATTTCAGACTAGAAAGTGTCAAATATCCTCCCTTTAATCAAGTCCTTCTCTTGTTCATTCTTCGTTTGTGAGTCTAGAATGATCATGACACCCGCAACCCCTATTTTATTTTCACTCAAACGTATATGTTACTTATACCTTTCACCCTTAAGCTCCTACTCCGCGGTAAATGAAGAATTTCAGAGTTCAGAGCTATTTTCAAGAGAAAATGAAGTTATTATCTATTGCAGACTTCTAAAAAAAAGTCATAGCTGCTGTTCCAAATGAGTGCAATAAAATGTGTCCATCAAATTTCGCACAACTCATAAACGAGAATACAAAATTCAAAAATCGATGAAGCCAAAACATATTTGATGATGTGTGATAAAAACGCCATGTACGTGTTAAAATGTTGCCAAATTTTCTCTCGGAAAGTATTATATTTCGAAAAAAGTTATGAATATTTTTCATTGAAACGTCCAGACTTTTCAGATCAAATTACGAACCAAATCCTCCGAAAAATCTAAAGAGAAATATTCACAAATAATCCTGAAAATTCGTGACTTTTCGCGGGAAATTTGGCAACACCTGATGGCTCATACGGCGTTCTGGTTCAGCACGGCAGATATCTCTGTGTGTAATAACTCCGATCGAATTCTCTGAAGTTTGACGAAAATGATAGGTGAAAAATAATAAAGGGTTATTCAAAAGTCACGCACCACTGGCCATGACGAGGGTGGCCATTCGAAATTTTTGAGTTGCACCTCGCCCCCCCTCCCCCGAAAGGGAGTCAAAAACTGAAAACTACCCAAAAAATTTTCCTTCTCAGTATGAGAAAAAACGTCACAAACCGCAAATCGATATCTTGATTAGAACTAAAGTTATGGCCAGTGGTGCGTGACTTTTGAATAACCCTGTATGTTTGAATCGTAATCTTGTATATACTCCCATTTTCCAAATTCTTTGTAAAGACGTTAAAAGCCTGTGACGCTGAATGTCTTTAAATATATTAACTAACTAACTATTTTTGTAGAAATGGACGTATTTCTACCAAACAGACCTACGTGCAGGTGAGAAATATGGGGTGTGCTCGTCGAAGCTGCATAAGAAGCGATGTAAAAGTGGGCGTGATTCCTTTTGAAGAATTGGAAAAGCGGGATTTTACATTCTATCAAAGAGACTTATGTGGCAACTGAATGCGGAACTCATGAGCCGCGGGCATGGCAAGAGAGCGTTGTGGACAGGGCTCATGAGTTAAAGCGCCCCGACGACGATCTCCCCCTCTCGCGGGAGCTCGATCATTGCCGCTGACGTCACTGGCGCTTTATTATTCTCATTCACTCTTACGGCCAGAGAACTAACGAGCACACCCCAAATTTCTCACCTCCACATAGGTCTCTTTGGTAGAAATACGTCCAAATGTCGTTGGTATTCGATCGATACGATGAAAAATGGAGAAGCGTTGTTTTAATCTACGTGTATTCTTTTTGTGTTCCAGTGTGAGGAGCAGATGATGAGCGGGGACATGGGGATTTTCGCGTCCCGCGCTGGGCCTAATGCGTGCTGGCACCCGGCGTGTTTTGTGTGTTGCGTCTGTAAGGAGCTCCTCGTCGACCTGATCTACTTCTGGCGAGCCAACAAGCTTTACTGCGGCCGCCACCACGCCGAAACGCTCAAGCCACGCTGTTCCGCTTGCGATGAGGTTAGACAACTGACATATTTTCCTTCATTTTTTCAATTAGAAAAAAATAGAGAAAAAAAATTAAAGAAAAAAATTTCAATTCAACCGAATGAACGAGTGGATTGAATTTTATTGAACGCTGCTACTCGTTAAGGCTAAAGATTGTACTCATTTGATAGAATACGATTTTTAAAGACTTCCAAGTAAATTAAATGAGAAGATTAAGAAGTGGGTTTAAAAATTGTGTAATTGCCGTATGAAGTCAGGCAAGTATTTGCCAAATATTTATTTACTCATTTCTGTTTTTAAACTTTTGATTAAACTCGCAAACCGCCCTATCTTTGCTCAACAACGACTTATGAACTCAATGAGTGATACATTTTGTCAAAACAAAATAAAAAATTGAAGACAAATTGAAGGCGCCTCGGCTTCTCAATGCCTAGGTCCGGATACAACTATTCGTGTTCTTAGGATGTCCGCGTTGCATACACGAAAAATTGTAGGCGCTCTGTTTTAAGTACGCACAACGCTTGACCGCGGTTATTAGTGCTTAAGGGTTTTCTACGTTGCCTTAACAATCGTGTTTGCGTGAAACCCTGGAATTCGAATGCGCCGTGTTGTATATCGACAGCGTTGCAAAATTGTGCAGATTAGGAAAATGTTATCAGTATAGTAAGCTGTAGGAATGAAATCTGCGGTGCCTTTGTGGACATGTTTTTTGAGAAAAATTTGCACTATCATACACGCTGCCGTGATGTAACACGGTGCATTCGAATTTCTAAGATTTCATGATGAATACAATTGTAAATGCAACATAGAAACTTCTTGAAAACCAACAACCTCCGCTTCATGTTGCGTTGTGCAAGAGAAAACTGTTAAAACGCCTGCAATTTTTGCGTATGCAACACGGACATCCTTAGAACTTGAATAGTCGTATCCAGACCTAGGCATAGAAAAAGGCATTTTCAATTTTAATCGAAATAAAATCGGTCGATTTGTAATCATCCAAACGATTTCTAGGAGTCTTCCTGATGATCAATGGCAATTTGACAAAGAACAGACACTGTTTCATCACAATTTTCCGGTCGGGCGCGTCTGAGCCCGTTTTCTCAAACTATCATTTTTGCACTTGCTGCTCTCTTCACTATTACGGCAGAGAAGGTCCGAACAAAAATATATGATTTTCGCAAGGTAGATTTACACAGGTATGGACAGAACTAAACAACTGGCCTCTGATTGGCTCTCCAGAGGCCCCTCAACTTCCGCCATTTTGTATGTTTTGATTATTTTGATTTATTATGTTCGGTTTATCGTTTGTCAAAATTTTGTGGGATTTTTTGCACAATTTTGATAATGCGATATTAATTTTAACGTTTAAACGCACAAACGTTTGAATGTTAATTTGATAGTAATTTAATTAAAAAACGGGCTTCTTAACCTACGTCACGTAGTCATGTGACACGTACTGAGGCTCATGGGAAATTTTCAACTTGTCCATACCTGTGTAAATCTACCTTGTGATTTTCGTGTTGTAATATTTATTGGTGGTGATTGCAGATAATCCTGGCGGACGAGTGCACGGAAGCAGAGGGACGGGCCTGGCATATGAAACACTTCGCGTGTCTGGAGTGCGATCGGCAGCTTGGCGGGCAACGCTACATCATGCGTGACGGGAGACCCTACTGCCTCCATTGTTTCGACGCCATGTTCGCCGAGTACTGCGACTCTTGCGGAGAGCCCATCGGAGTTGACCATGGTAAGAATCGAATCCGAACCTACTACTAGAGTACCTGTATAGGGAGAGTACCGACGGATCGGTTCATGGAGGGCTTGGGGCCCAAAAGTGCAGCCACCCTTCTAACCAACTTCTAACGCACAAAATTTCACTGCCAGTCTGCAGATTCCAATTCTAACCAAGATGGCCGAGAATGCACAGAAATGAGCGTTCATCCGCGAAATTGAGTAAATTTATGCAAAAACTGAGTCAAACACGTGCTTAATAAAGGAAGGTTCGTAACAATAGTATCGGTAAATCGCTCTGGATAATTGAAATTCATAGGTTGGCTGCCCTTTTAGGCCCTAACTTTATTCGCGGAGGCATCGGTGAAGGCCTGATGGACTTTCGGAGTTGCAGATCTGTCGGTACTCTCCCTATACAGGTACTCTACCCACTACTTATCCTTATACTGTAATTGGACTGCATTTTGCAATTCGGACCTGTAAATTCTGGCCCAGATTAAAAACAACGTGTGTGCCATTAGTTTACCTATGCTCTTAAGTGTTTTTTCAGATGAGACAGAATTTAGAGGTCCAAATTGCAAAATGCAGTCCAATTTGGACCGCGATTAGCAGGAAACAACCGAGGCACATCAGCTAATGCCAAATTTAATCGGCCAATTCAATTTTTGAAAAGAGAACGTTTGTGTAGATTCCTTTGAAAATGTCAAGGAATTTGCATTGTACTGCGCAGAAAGTTCACTGGAATTTGCACAAAAATCCGCACGACCGTTTTCAGGTAAAAAATTAAATTGCCATTAATTAATTATAAATTTGGCAATAAGTTGCTTGGTTCCTTTCTGCTTAACGCGGTCAATTTTTGCCGGAGACGATTAGAGACCCTGGCAGATCTCGGTTGATTCAGTAGTTCGCGCAGTACTGCCGTGCTAAGTAAAAACGCCTCATGAGCCATCAGGCATTGCCAACTCCCCTTCGATAAATCATAAATTTTCGGGAAAATTCGTAAACATTTCGAATTCAATTTTTCAGAGAATTTTGTTCGTAATTTGATCCGGAAATTTTGGATATTTCAAGGAAAAATATTCATATCTTTCTTCAAAAATAAATATTTTCTAAGAGAAAAGGTAAAATTTGAATGCTCATACGGCGTTTTTGCTTAGCACGGCAGAACTGACTGCTAACTCAGAGGTCCCGGGTTCAAATCATCGAATGCCGACCAGGATGACAAAATTTCATGGTCCCAGATCTTGTCACTTTGAGGGTGCACGAATGTTCGCTCTCTCTTTCTCTCTCCCCCCCCCCTCTCTCTTTTATCCGTCCTTCTTCTTTCCATTTCAATTTTGTCTGGGTCCTTGTCAGCAAAATAGAACCATCGATTGAAGTTGCAGAAATAGTGGGTGCAATTTCAGGATTGGGGCGCCTTCAATTCGAGTGATACTTCCAGCATATCCGGGAAGTTTGTTTAGTTGCGTGACCTAACTTAACCCAATCTGACTCTGTTGCGATTGATTCCCGAGCTTTGAGACCGCTCAGAACTGTAACACTACCTTGTTTAGACGTTCCGGAATTACTTTTCATGCATTATTTCTTCCCAAAAAACCCATCAATTTTTTTAGTCGAAGTTTTTAGTGAATTTATGTCACTCAGTAGGCACCAGACTTAGCGTAGAAAGTTCTATTGATCGAAGTTGCAAGAAAAGTGTGTACGAATTGAAGATTGGGGCGCCTTCAATTCGAGTGATACTTCCAGCATATCCGGGAAGTTTGTTTAGTTGCGTGACCTAACTTAACCCAATCTGACTCTGTTGCGATTGATTCCCGAGCTTTGAGACAGCTCAGAACTGTAACACTACCTTGTTTCGACGTTCCGGAATTACTTTTAATGCATTATTTCTTCCCAAAAAACCCATCATTTTTTTTTGTCGAAGTTTTTAGTGAATTTTTGTCACTTAGTAGGCACCAGACTTAGCGTAGAATGTTCTATTGATCGAAGTTGCAAGAATAGTGTGTACAAATTGAGGATTGGGGCGCCTTCAATTCGAGTGATACTTCCAGCATATCCGGGAATTTTGTTTAGATGCGTGACCTAACTAAACTCAAACCGACTCTGTTACGATCGGTTCCCGAGCTTTGTAACCGATCAGAACCACAAAACTCGGACATATTTAATTACTGCCAAGACAACATTTGTTCCAACGTTTCAGAATTACTTTCTGAGTATTATTCTTTACAAGGAAACTCATCAAATTGTTTTTCGCGAAGTTTCGGGTGAATTTTTGTCATTTTGTAGGCTTGGTAGGTCAATGCTACCTCGGCTCCTCCAATTGATTTCTGTGTAATTTGCATGGTGTAAGATAATATTTTCGCACGGGAAACTCGAATTTTTAGTCAAGTTTTCAAAATTCCCAAATCCCAGATGACGAACGTGAAACGTGACCGAAATTGCTATATTAGCGGTTTCAATGTCTCTCATGTTTTTCCTTCCCTTTTGCCTCTTCTAATTTGCCATCCTCGTTTTCCATTTTCCTTTACTTCTTCTATTTCCTTCATCTACTACCTCGTCCTACCTCCTTTTTCCACTCCTAATTCATAACTTCTTCTTCACCTTCTTTTCTCTCTTTGCATTCCTGTACCTCTTCTTTTCCTACTTCTTCTTTTTGTCTTCTCTTCCTTCTTCTCTTTGTCCTTCTTCTTCCTCTTCTTCCTTATCTTACTCTTCTACCTTCTTCTTCCTCTTCTTCTTTTTCTTCTTCTTCTTCCTCTCTTCTTCTTTTTCTTCTTCTTCTTCTTCTTCTTCTTCTTCTTCTTAGGAATTCTTCTTACATTAATGATGAAATTTTCCGTGTCGCAGGTCAAATGAGCCACGAAGGACAACACTGGCACGCGACGGAGCAATGCTTCTGCTGTCACACGTGCCGGGCGGCGCTCCTGGGTCGACCGTTCGAGCGGAGTTCAATCGTCGACATCGGCAGAAGTCGAATTCGAAAAAAGGGCAGTCGTCGACTCGAAGCGAACGGGTCGAATGGTTCCGCGAACTGCCGCGAATGTCATGAACATTCGCCGGGGCGAGTTCGGACGAGTTTGTTATTGTTTCTCATTAAACTAACCCCTTTTGAGGACATTAGTAATAGTAAAGTAATAGTACATCTACCTATTTATTAGTCAAGAATGTCTAATATTTTTCACTGAATAAATTTTCGCATGTCGTCGGATAAATTATTTTTTTGGCAGTGTGTCTGTTTAGTAGTAATTTCTCGCCTAGCCACTGCTGTTCATTGTCGGAACGGTGGGAAGTTAATCGAAGCTGTTCAATCCGGAAGTGTTTTTGAGTCAGTTTAAATTAATTAATTAATTTCTTTTTCAGTCTGAACCCTAATTGAGTGGACATTCTACGACTTTCGCGTAGGTAGGTGGAAAAATCCACTTTTTGAGGACAAAGTAGTCTTTCAGCAGTTCATAGATTATCTCCACTCGCTACCACGCCAAAGGAGCATATCATTGTGTCTGATCATTGAAGGTTTCTTGAGAACCAAGTTGATGAAAAATGCAGATGAAACTGTAGCTTTTCTTGTTCTTGAAAAACTTTAATGGCAGATTTTCTTATACAGCGAGGGAAACGTCTCTGCTCCATGGTCATAGTCGCCATGACTGAAGATTTCTTCGATGGTAAAGTTCCTTATCACCTTTAATACGCTTTAATATCACAGGTCTTTACATCTACCTCATTGTAAGTTGCTTTCAAGCCTCTACTTTGACAATTTTATTCTTGATGTGGAAGCCAACGTTTTGTTACCCACAGGAGTTACTTGGAAATAAATACATTCATGTAGGATAGCTAGAATTTACTACCGACACAGTTTCCTTTGCTTCAATCTGCTTTTGCGCAGTTCCTCATACTGTAACGTGACAAGACTGAGTCATAGAAGGGTGCCTCGGCTCCCTACTAAAGAGAGACAGGGTGCTGAAAACACGAACACAAAAAGAAAGGAGGATGAAACACTAAGTATACTTGACTGCAAAAGTGAAAGAGCCGGCTGAGGCCCAGCCTCAAAGAAGTATAACTGGAACTTCTCACACTAGTCCTAATCGGAGCATTTTAATTCAAACATGGAAAAAGTTATGACATAGGTACCTATCGAGCATTCTTTTTGCACATTGCGGTAGGACATGATACTTTCAAAGACGAGAAAAATCAAGTTTATTTTCCATGAAATTAAAAAAAAAATTAGGCATTTTCACCGCGACTTGTTTCTGAAAACACAGAAATGAGACATTGATTTTTACACGCAACTTCATAAGAGTTTTTCACTTTCATTGAAGAAATTTGAAGTTCATTTTATAAATCCTTCCATTTTAAGGGGATGCATAATGAAGGTGACATCACTTAACCACAATCCTATCTGCAGTTGCATCATTTCAGATGTTCTTAAATTTTTTACTATTTTGAAGCATAACGGATCAGTACATGAAGAAAAATTGCATGTAATGCACCGATTCTGAGATGCTATCAATCCATATTCCTTGCACAATGGAAATTTTTCTAGGTTCACCATTGATGTGTATGTCTAATCACATTAAAAGATAAAAATAAATAAAAAAGCCACTTAGCGCCCCAGCTGGGTCTTATTAGAAAAGATATTAAAAAAACTTAAATTCCCTCCAAGTATCAGAATGGAAAAATCCTGAAGACCTTTCTCTTCAAATCATGGTGCGAAATTAAGAGGAGAACGTTTCTCCAAAGTTCATTTTCAATTAAGTCTATTATTGGACATAGCCTTTCTCTGATGAAGAAAAGGAAGACATTAATACGCTAGGCTTTTATTGCTCATCAGTCGAGGTCAAATTAAAAATCGAGACCTGTTTACTTAGGTATCTACTTTAAGGGTCAGAAACAAAGCATAGATTTAGTTTAATTTACAACCATTGATGGAATTTCCTGATCCATTATGGCTCTCGTTCTGCTAAGAGAGCTACTTAAACTTAGAGGTCTTTAGCTTTAGTGTCGTCCACGGCAAAGATAAGCAGCCTTTACATAATGCTCCATTTGCAACAGACGATAAAATGAAAAGTAAAATAAAATGCACAATGGTGAACTAGGTTCGATTGGTTCGGTGCGTTCGGGCATCGACGTATGATCGTTCGCGAATCGACCTCTGACCGTTCGCCACGAATCGACCATTGCCGATGTCGACCTTTGCTACTCGTTCGACCGTTCCTCCCGCGGCGAGGCGCCATCTACTGCTCAATCGGGTGCAGCAAAGGGGAGCCACCCACGCCCTCGGACAGCTCCGGGCATCCCCCCGGTCCCCCCGGCCCTGGACTCCCCAACGGGGGCACCCCCAACCCCACCCACAACCACATCCACACTCATACCAACACCCTCACCCACGATCCTCAGGCCGCACCACCCTCCCCCTCCCGCAATCACCTCCACTCCCGGCCCCGCTCCGAGGCCTCCTCCACCCCCTCCACCTCCCCTGCTCGCAATCGCCGCACCCCCACCCTCCCCTCGCCCGCCCCATCTTCGGAGTCGCTGCACTCCACACCACCTGCCCACAGCAATCACCTGCCCAATGGAATCGTTCACACCAAGAACAAGTGAGTAATCTACTGCCTTTAACTTTGAGTCTTGCACTGAAAAAAACACCCCGGCCGTGGAAGCCGTACTTACGGGCTATATAGAGATACCGTCCGTGTTCCGGGCTCAGAGGCCGAAAGTTCCGAGCGTAGCACCCGGAGCAGTCGAAGTGCTCCGGAACACGGACACTGGAGTCCGGAACACGGACGGTATCTCTATATAGCCCGTAAGTACGGCTTCCACGGCCGGAGTGTTTTTTTCAGTGCGAAAGAAGAAAAAATGCTCTTAATTAAATTTCCAGGCATTTTGGACTTTCAAAGAATATTTCAAGAAGAACTCCCAGAGAATATTTGGACTGAGTTAAGCAGAAAGGAACCAACCCACATTTTGGAAAAAATTGAGTTATGAGTGATTTTGAACTCAACCACTGCTCTACTATCTATCGCCAAAAATTCAAAGTTTTTGTTGGAGCAAATTTTGCAGAAATTGAACTTGAAGTTTATCTTTTACATTGAGTCTTATGCAGGAGTCAAACTTTAAACCTCTTTTTCTCGGTTCGATCCCGATGTGGCTTGGTTCCTTTCTGTTTAACTCCGTCCATTTATGAAAGGATACAGATAAATCTGTAGAAATTGTGTGCTTTGATAATAACTGAGCGTTTCTCTTAATCGTGGAGTACGAAAGACAATTTTCAAAGTCGCTGACCGCGCTGAGCGTCCGTGTGGTTCCACTATCGAGCTGTTCCAAAAACCAATCTTTTCAACAAAAATTTTATGTTCATTGTCAAGATTTTGAAAGAGGGGGGTTAAATTTTTTGTGGGTTAACTGACATTTTTTCAGAGAGGGCTAGCAATCCTTGAAAGTTACAAAATCGGTTTTTGTGCTCCAAAGTTGAAAGTCTAGTAGAGTCTGTTAATCTCATAAACAAGTGATTTCGCCATCTTGAAAAAAGTCACTTTTGGCTGTAAACGGACGGAAAATCTTTAAAGTGCAACTCTCTGTTAGAGGCAACACCCTTTGCCAGCTGCGATCCTGATTTTTAATTTATGAGCTGGAAAATTCGAACTTAATTTACAAAATATTTATAAAAATCATATTTTCTTTAGAATCTGCTCTCATTTTAAAAATGAATTAATCTGAACCTGAATGATAATAAAACTGCCGTGCTATAGATGAACGCCGCATGAACATTTTGAGAGTTGCCAAATTTCCTTCGATAAAATTTTTATTTTGGAGGAAAGGTATGAATATTTTTCCTCAAAATTTTCTTTAGGTGAAATTGCAAACAACATTGTCTGAAAAATTGGAGGAAAAATATTTACAATTTCACCAGGTAATTCGTGTTTATATATGGAAATTTTGCGACGCCTGAAGGTTCATACACTGGAAAAAAAAAGAATCTTAAATTTGCCGCCAAGAAGTATCCCTTCTTAAATCAAGAATTTTTCTGGTTAATATAAGCCACTTTTTCGCTTAACCCAAGCATTATTTTTCTTGTATCAAGAAAAAGTCAGCTTAAAGCAAGAAAAAAAAATTTCTCGGCGGCAAATTCAAGAATCATCATGCTTGATCCAACCTACTTTTTTTTTCAGTGTACGGTGCTTTTCCTTAGCACGGCAGCATAGAAGTGTGAATATCGACGGTGAAACTACCAAACCACGTATCTCGTTTGCGGTGTTTAAAAATCTACGCTCGCATTTTATTTTTTTGAAGTAGACCAAATCGATATCATTCCTTGGAATTTTCACAGAACTTTCTCCGCGTGAAGAGGAAAAATCACAGAAATTTTCAAGACTGGACGTTGAGTAGTTTTTCATTTAAAAAATAAAGTATGACAGGAAGTCTGCGACGTCGCAAACCGAGATACGTGGTTTGGTAGTTTCACCGTCGATATTTTAAATCATATATTGAGCTCTAACGGAGATTTCATTTTCCGTTTCAGACCAAATTCCCTGAAAGCAACCCAATGCAGTAGCTCCCTTCAAATATCTCAGAATCTACCTCCAGTGCGATCACCAAAGGTGGGACGGCGAGCGCTTCAGCGGACCTCATCAGGACCAAGCTCCCCCACTCCGCCATCCCCGAACGTTGTGCGAGGCCTCCCACCGCTCCCCAGCACCCCTTCCAAAGGCCTGGATCGAGTCCTCCTCGAGCGGAACCTAGAGAAACTAATCACCGAAAAACCAACCCCTAGCGGCACGAGTAGCCAAGAATCCGGTTCCTGCAACCTGGACATAGACCGGATCCTACGAGAGTGCGCCGGGAACGTGAGCCTCCAGTCGCAGGTGGAACACCTCCTAGTCAACCGCTCCGACTCCAGCCCCCTAGACAAACTATTCCTCGACAACGGCATTTCGTTACGACTGCAAGCAGAGCTGGAGAAGCTCATCGCGGAGAGCGGAGCCAACTCCGTGCGTAGCGAGCTGCAACGACTGCTGTTCCAACAGAGCACCCACAGCATGCAGTCCGAGCTCATCGCTCGACTCATAACCGGGAGCAACGCTCCGCTCGGTAAAGACCTACAACTGGCCGATCTGAGTCTGAGCTTGGACTCGTGGAAACCTCAACTGACGGACTCCAAGCCGGCGAACAAACTCGCTTTCTCGATGCCGGATCTGGCCGCTCAGTCGGGGAATTCTCCGCAGAAGAAGAATAAAGGGAACTTGAGCGTGAGGTTTCAAGGTGCCAAGAGCGACGACTCCATAGATCAGATTCCGAACAGACGATCTCGTCATCGGGACGAGCGAGATTTCGACCCTGATAGACGGTCTCGTCATCGGGAAGAACGGGATTACGACCCTGATAGACGGTCTCGTCATCGGGAAGAACGGGATTTCGACCCTGATAGACGGTCTCGTCATCGGGACGAGCGGGAATACGATTCGGATAGCTACTGTTCGACTTGTTCGTCTAGTTCGAGTAGTGATGACCTGACGGTTTACCAGCTGCCCCAGCGACGTGCCTACGGAGGAGTGCGGATTTCCTACGTGCCCAACGACACTCTGGCCTGCGCCAAGAGGCAGCAGTCCATGGCGAATTCGCCTATCTCCCCGCTCAAGAAGAAGCAGGATGACAAAAGTTGCATCATTTCCTGATACTTCTTCCAGTACTTTAGTTGAGAGCTCAGGGCGTTGCTCAAGAAACCGTGCAGTAAGTAAGATTGCTGGGCTTGTCTTCCCTCGTTATTTGGACCGCGTTAAACAGGAAGGAGCCAAGCCACATCAGCTATTGCCGAATTCAATTGGGCAGTTGAATTTTTTACATGAAAACAGTTGTGCGGATTTTCGTGCACATTTCAGTGGATTTTCTCCGTAGTACGAAGCAAATTCCTCAAAATATTCAAAAGAATCCATACACACGTTCTCTCGTAAAAGCTTAAATTGCCCAATTAAATTTGGCAATAGCTGATGTGGCTTGGCTCCTTTCTGTTAAACGCGGTCCATTT